GAGCCACAAAAGGTCCAAATGGTATTTGAAAATGTTCTGAAGAATTATTATGAATAAAGCTGTTGTGGGTTTTTTTTTGTTTGTTTGTTTTGTTATTGTTTTTGGGTTTTTTTGTTTTGGTTTGTTTTTTTAAGACAACCTTGTGATTATTTGGAGTTGACTCATCCTTTCTGAACTCCATGTTGACAAAATACAAATGGAGAGGATAGAAAATATGTGGTGCTTAGGAGCTGTTAATAGGAATTGGAAATGGGCGATCTCAAAGAAATAAAAATGGCAGTGAAATAGTTTATTTCCAATGCTGGAGACTGCAAGGTCTGACTGGTTATAAAAATGTTTTCTTTAAATGTAGCATAGTTATTGAAAAAAATTTTTTTCATAGTTGTTGATTTTGTAGTACGAACAGCTACCTCTGCTGGCACGGTTCCTTATATGCATTTAATGTTTTGATTTTCTTTTTTAACACAATATGTACACAGATCCTAAATCGCTTCCCAGTGCTTCAAATATCACATCACAGTTCAACACTCAGCTGGTTACTGGAAACTCTAATAATTGAAAGTTTGTTTAGTTTGGGCTTGAGAAACAAAACTCCCCTGTAGTAATTGCTCTTCAATGAACTTTCCCTTGTTTGAAGCCCACTCATCTTTTTTTCAGTACAAACACAGGGTTAATAAAAAAAAAAAAAAAAAAAAGGAAAATGCTGTGAAATCAATGAGGTGGGTGTAATAAAGGAAGGTGCTTTTTACTTGAACATTTAAAAATACAGATTACATTTCCTATCTGCGGTGTCCTTTTAAAGCCATTTGGAAGATGGTCTGCCTCCTCAGAGGGTGTTTTCTGTTTATTTTTTGTTCTGTATCTTTGTTTCCCCGTGTGAGTTATCCATTCCCACGGCTGTCAGACTCCCTGCAGTTGGTGCCCTTTGCGAGGAGCCACAAAGAAAAGGGAATGCCAAGGGATCTCTGCCATTTTCTGATGCGTTTCTAGTGATGCACTGTGGTAGAAAGAAAAGAACGAGCAAATTTCCTTTTCTCCCTGAACCACTGGATGTCACTGCTACCCCAGCCAAAATGAAGGTCAGCAGTAAACTCCAGGGTTTTTCTGCAGTAAAAGATTTGCATAACAAAGATGCCAGGAACAGGCCGCTGTAGATTCCGATTAGGCTAGAAACAAGCCGTCAGAAAAGACATCTACTCCTGAGATCTTTTTACTTGTGTGGACGTTTTCCTTTTTAAAATAAGGAACTTGAAAGATACACTGTATTGACTGATACAGTCTGTGGTATGTAGAGATTTCTGAATGAGCGAAGGGAATAAATTATTAACAGACTCACTGTAATCCTTATTAATGTATTATGTTTCAGTCATACTAATTTTAGATATTGCCAGTGCGTGCGTGGCTTCCTTTATCCCAGAGAGTTCTGTCAGAGGCTGGGATAGTGGAGCCGGAGTAGACAGACGCAATACCCACTTGGTAACAGCAGAGAGAGCTGGGGAGCCGGAAAAAACACCGTGGAGATGTGATAAATAAAGTTAAATCACTGATTCAGTCTAATCCACTCCAATTTTATTCAATATCTGAATAGTTCCATCTTAATTTATTCTTCTTCTGACTGATCTCAAAAATGTTATAAACGTTTTCCCTAAAATATTTCTATTTTCTCTTCTAGGTCCAGTTACTGATTTCTTTGTATTTGAAGTTTTTTAAAGTCTCTCAGTAGCTTTTTCAGTGGGCTTTCCCCCTCTCCCCCTCTTAAACTCATAATTATAAAAAACAGATGATAATTCCAACTTTAACTCTGATTTCCAGAAACCTCCCTGCTTAAATAGAAATTTCTTCCACTGAGTAGTTGTGTTTGATGATAATGATAATGCTGAGTAGATACAGTGGAATTGGTGAAAAGCTCTGGTCATGCCATTTTCCACCAGCTACTCCTCACAATGGCTCATTCATTAGTTTCAGGAAATGTTTTGTAGTGGTCAGAGGAAGCAACATTGACAAACCATATGTGAACATCAGCCTGCACAAGTTCACTAAAAAAATCAGATTTCCCGTTTTCATTCCTGCAGTATTATTACACCCTTTTACTGGTGAAGTGACTGTCTTTTAAAAGTCTTGCAGTTTGCCCTAGCACTTAGGTAATGTTCCTGTGATGGATGAGATATTTACCCTAATTTTCTTGGCAACACAGTGAAGCACAGAGAACAGAGATAATGTCCGAGGCAAATAAATGGGACATGGAGAGGTTGTTCGAACTACCTCTGTGCTAACAGTGGGCACAGTCAATTCAACTACTCTCTGAACTGCTAACACTAACCATTTTACAAGACTATTTTAAATTTCAGGGGAACCTTATTTTACTGATGAATGCCCTTCCTAGTTCCACAGTCCTTACATCTTAAAGTTGCTGAATTTCCCTGAAATTTCCCATTTCCCCTGCTGAAATTTAGCAGTTCCTATTGCACCCTCCATCTTCCCATCTCTTACAGCAGCAGCACACTGGAGCTTTCTGCCTTGGCTCTGTGTTTTGTGGAGCTGTGACTCGGTGCTCTGTAAGATGATTTAAGTACTTATGAGATGGAGAAAGGATCTCTTTGCCACCTGATAAACCAATGACTTCTTCTAGCTCCCCTTCCTTACTTAGATCCTCCCTAAAATTCAGGTCATTCTTTTAGCATCTTCTTTCAGCTGTACTAGTCATTTCAATTTTACTTTGGTTTCTAAGAAGCCTCAAGAAAGCTCAGGGGGCCTGCAACACAACATGCACACCCTTTTTTTTTTTTAACATTTCTTTGAACAAGGACATGGGGGGGATGAGGAGGAATCTTGATAACGAAACTGCTGGGTGGGTGGTGCACTGGTATATCTCTCCCTTTTCTCTGACTTCAGATGGGTGTGGGTGAGGGGAACTGTGCATTTATGACTATAGTGGTTTGAGCCCAGAGGGCAACTGAGCACCACCCAGCCGCTGGCTCACCCCTTCCCCCTCAGGAATGGGAAGGAGGAAATACAACAAAAGGCTGGGGGAATTGAGATAAGGACAGGGAGGGATGACACTAATTACTGTCAGGGAGAAAAGACAGACTTGTTAGGGGGAAAAAAAAAGAACATCAATTTAATTCAAACACTAACAGCAATACTTAACAGAGCAGGACAGTGAGATGTATAACCACATCTTAAAAACACCTCCCCCCACCTCTCCTTTCTTTCCAGGCTGAGCTTTGCTCCCAATTTTCTATACTTCCTCCCCACCAGCAGTGCGTCAGGGCATGGGGTTGCAGTCAATCCCTCACACATTGTTGCTACTGCTCCTTCTTCCTCAGGGGGAGGACTCCTCACACTCTTCCCCTGCTCCAGCACAGGGTCCCTCTCACGGGAGACAGTCCTCCACAAACTTTCTCCTGCATGAGTCCTTCCCACAGGCTGCAGCTCTTCCCAAGCTGTTCCAGCCTGGGTCTGTCCCACGTGTTGCAATACTCCCAGTGCCGAACTACAGCAGCAGGGGTTTCCTTCAGAGTCCTAGCTTACTTCAGGTGCAGACACCTGCTCCAGCGTGGGGTCCTCCACAGGCTGCAGGTGGGCTTCTGCTCTACCATGGACTTCCATGGGCTGCAGGGGAGTCCCTGCTCCGGCACACCTCCCCCCCGCTTTCTTCCACTGACCTCGGCATTTGCATAGATGTCTCCCTCACAACTCCAGCTCCTTCCAGGCTCCCCTTCCTAAATATGTTATTGCAAAGGTGCAGGCACCGTCATGCCTTGACCAGAGGAGAGTCCAACTTGGAGCTGGGGGAACTCTGAGAAGCTTCTCACAGGGGCCACTGCTGTAGCTCTTTCCCCACTACCAAAAACCCCTGCCACACTCACAAACCCAACACGATGCCACATTAATTCTAGCATGGTTTTGGTTGTCAGCCTATACATAGTGGAGAATTACCACACAAGAGAAGCACTAAGCTCACCCTGTTCAATTGCTCAACAGCTCCTTTCACCCTTTAGCTATGTGCTCGGTGGGATCACGGCTGTCTGTGAGCAGCGCTTATTCCCAGTCTAAGAGGAATAAGGTAGTCCCCAGAACTCAAGCCCTGAGGCAGTTGAAGGAAGTGCAGAGAATACAAGAAGGCCTGTGATAATGCCTCTCTTGTTGAACTACCTTCCTTAGCCTCGCTTTTCTACACACAAATGTATTTTCACAGTGAGGCACTGAAGAAAATAGTTTTGCTCTATATATGAGGAAGGGAATGAAGGTGACAGAAGTTTCCCTGTGACAAAAGAGATCATTAGGTATGGAAAACAAGGGGCCAGGAGCAGTGTATGGAAGTTAGGAGCGAAGCTAGACAGGGGAGGGCATTTCTCCACCTGCCACGCGGTGACTACCTCAGGTGTGAGCTATCACTTGCTCACCACATGGGTTTAAAAATCCACGACTCAGCTGCTCCTTCCTCTCCCTTCCATCTTCCCAGGGCCTCGAAAGAGATTAAAAAAAAACCCTGTGATGCCTGAAGACTCAAAATATTTTTCAGGGTAGCTTTATTTTTTTCCTTCACCTTCTGGCTCTCCAGGTAAAGCTCGATTGTGCCTTCAATATTACAACGAAAGTACTGTCCCTAGCATGCTAGTTCTCACTCCGAAAGCCCCCGAAACGCCGCTGAGGGGACGGGCGGCTTCGCGGGGGACAGCCGAGCTCCCTCAGCCCGGCCCGGGGCGGGGCGGGGTAGGCCGGCTTTCTGAGCCTCTTCCGCAGGGCGGGGGACGCGGCCCATCTCGACAACAAATCGTCTAAAAAAAAAAAAAAAAAAAGCTGGCCGCTGTGCTGAGCGGTCACGGTCTTCCTCCAGCTGAGCGGCCGAAGGGGGCTGTGAGGGGTCGCCCCGCGGGGAAGGGACGGCGGGAACGTGAGGGGCGGCCGTTCCCGCCGCTGGGGCGGGGCGGGGGCCCCAGGCGCTCGCAGCCTCCGCCCGGCCTCGCGGTCCCTGTGGGGCACCGGGGTTCCGCCGCCGGCTCGGGGAACGCCTGGGGCCGGGGGGGGTCACAGCCAGCCAAGCCGCCCAGAGGTCCGCGGCACCGGGGGCTGCGGAGCGAGAGCTGGGCCTCCTGCGCGTCCCCTTTGTGTGGAGCACGGCTGCGTGCGGGGAGCGGGCGTGGCCGGCGGGCCGGGCGTGCATTTCCGCGCTGCCTCGGTCCCCGGTGGGAGCGCGGCAGCGGCGGGGCGGCTCGGCTGGGCTGGGCTCGGCGCCGCGGAGAGGCACTGCTGGCCGGCCGCGCCGACGCGGGGAGGGTCCGGGAGCGCCGCCGCGCCGCGTCCATGGACTAGCCGAGGCAGCGGAGGGACCCCGATTACGCCGCCCGCCGCCTCGCTCTCCGCCCAACTTGGCGAAACTTAGCGAGAAGGCTCCTGCCCCGGTGAGTCCTTGCCCGCCCCGGCCCGGTCATCCCCCTCAGCCGCGGGCGTCGCGCCGTTTCCCCGCCGTACGGAGTGCTGCTTTCGCCCCCCCTCCCCCGTCTTTAAGCACCGGCATTTTGACACCTCGCCCCCCCGCCCCGGAGCACTGCTCTCCCCTACGAGACCCGCTGGGAGCTGGCAGCCATTGAAGCGGGCGGGGAGCCAGCGCTGCCCGGCTGCCCTCCCTCGGGGCGGGCAGCAGCCCTCAGACTTTCTAAGTTTACCGAAAACGTGGGGCTGTGGGGCGCCTCTGCCATTGTCCTAGTCCATTAAAGGAAGCCGGGGAGGCCAGGCGAGCCTTCCTCTGGGAGTTCACGCGAAGTTGTTTCGTTGAGTGAGGTGCCACAAGGGAGAAAAATAATTCTAATTTTTTTTTTTTTTTTAAAAAAAAAAAAAATAAGCCTATCGGGGTGCTGCAGCTGCAGGGCGGCGTTTGCAGCCTGCTTGCTCCGCCGTGGCACCGGCTGCTGCCAGCCCCTGCCCGCGATCCAGGCGGTGCTGGTAGCAGAAGCAGCTGCTCCATGTGTGTGAGGATTGAGGCCTGTGACTTTTTTTTTTCTCTTAAATTTCAACTTCAATTACTTGTAAGCTGTGTTAGCGAGGAACCTCTCTGACACCCTTTCAGCGTCCTGGCAAAGCCTGTTTCAGCTCCTGTGGGGTCCCAGGATGGAGGTTTGGATAACTAACACATCACCAGCTCCCGTTTGGCCACTTACCTTCTAGCCGGTTGTCTTTGTAGTTTCAGGTGTATGTTTTATTCCTGGTCTGTGACCGCTACAGAGCGCTGCCGAGAAGCTACTGCATACAGACCCTGTGAGAAGAGTTCAAGTAAAATACATTATGTACAGTTAATGTGGGGAAGGTGGTTTTTTTCCTTTGTAAACTTGTATTTTTTTTAAGGAAGGGAATGGCCCTTGTGCATTCTCGCATGTGTGAAGGGAGAGGGTTTAAGCTAAGATGGAAAAGGCTTGGTATTAGGAAGGACCTGTGGTGTTATCCCAGCCCAACTTCAATACTGACTTGTTTTTGTGTGTGTAGAACAAACCACGATTTTGGACTTTCAGAGAGTCTGCATAAGGCTTTTAATCATACATGTGACCTTACCTCACGTACTCGATGTAGACTTAGTGGTTTAGTTTTGAGCCTTTCTGAATAATAATAATAAAAATAACGCTGTAAAAATAAGATAAGTTACTTATTGTGTTGGCCTTAGTAGGCCTTCAAAGGTGATGATGGAGGGAAGGATATTTTAAGTTAACTGGCAGGATAGGATTTTTCCAGCACTGGTGTGGTGGTGTTTTTGTGGGTGTGGGGTGGTGGGTTTTTTTTTGATTGTTTGTTGGTGGGTGGTTTTTCGTTTGTTTGTTTTTTTTTGTTTTTTTTTGTTTTTTTTTTTTCCGGAGCATAAAGCTTGTGACCTAGAACTCTGAGTAAAATGGAAGGAAACCAGTTCCTAGAGGATGAAAGTACAGGGCATATCTTGTTCATAAATGCTGTCTGGGGTGATGATTTCCTTTCTGGCTATCCCCATTAGTGAGTTGGGCATCAGTACTCACATGCTCTTACGAATTCCTGAGCCACTTCATGCTCAGAGTAAATGTGTGACACTTTAAATGCTTGGGTGTGGATGGCTGAGATGCTACCACTATCTGCTTGACAGGAATTGTGAGGGGAGAGAAGGGGTTAGGGGCGGATTCAAGTCTACTTGTTGGTGTGAAATAGGAATGAGCTGTGGGGGAAACTACTCTGCAGCTTTTGTGTTTTGTTTGTTTGTTTGTTTTTTTGTTTTTGTTTTTGTTTTTTTTTTAAGCATATCCAGGATATCTGTGTTGGTGGAATAGTATTATCTTCTGGCTAATGACATGAGAAGAAGGTACTTTTAGGGTATGATGTATGTCCTTGTGTTCTTGTGGGGTGGGGAGGAAGAACATAGTAGTGTTGCCTGTCCTTAGAAGATTTTCATGTTCAAAATGACAATGCCACTGAAGCAGCAGTTTTTAGAAATAGCTTCCCAAAAGTTTGGAAATGCATTTATAATAGTGTTGAAAAACAATGTGCAAGTAAGTTAAAGCAAAATGCCAACCGTGTATTTTTGGTGTTCTTGCTCATAATGGAGTTGCTAGACCTATATCAAAATATTTGACAGTTGCTCTTCTGTCTGGTGTGAGCTCTCTGTGATTTTATTTAGTGTAAGTTGATCCATTTAGCTTCCTTTGTGTCGAAGTGTTATCTCCAGTCCCCAAATAAGAAGACCAAATCAGAAGAAACTTCACTTAAGTCTTAACTGAGTCTTACTCTTGTTTCAGGGCATAGGCTTTGCCTGACATTTAGTGCATTGTAGAATAATTAATCTTGTGCTTTTTTCTTCTTTCCTCTGCTTCTTGCCCCCTTGTGGGACTAGGGTGGGAAGTGTGGCAGAAAAGGAAAAAAATCCCCTTTGTTAGGAGCCTTCATATAGGTAACATACCTGACAGGACTGAAATGGGGTATGTTCTGGGCTACCTTTTGCTAGTTTTAGGCCTTGTAATACCTAATGAAAGAATCATAAAAAGCCCTTGCTCTGAACCCTAAAATGCTGTCTAATTGGGGCACTTCATTTGGTATTGAAGAAGTAACTTTTTGCTCTTAGATGTAGCAAGAAAATTGTTGACATGGTGTGTTATGAATTTGGTCATGTCTGGATGCAAATGTGTTGATAATCTGGATGAAGTTTAAATTGTAGGCTAACTTCTAATTAACTGAGGAATATGCTTTTTGATCCCTTATAGATCGTTTTGCCTTAGGGTTGTCCTCTGATTTTCTTAAAGGGCCGTTATATTTAGTTTATGAAGCTTTGGTGTTTGCCTCCCAGTCGGCCATTACCTGTAAATTGATGTTTGGAGGAAAAAAAAAAGGGGGAGAGGGTAGATTTTTCCACTGAGAAACTCCTACAATTCTCAGTCTTCTGTCAAATATCCCATCCTGTTTTAGGTGTGGCACAGTTTGAGCACTGCTGAGCGTAAATAAATTAAACTCTTGTTCTGATATCACTGTGTTAGAATAGAAATCTCGGGGGGGGGTGTGTGTGTGTGTGTGTGTGTGTGTGGAGAGGGAGTGGTGTGTGTGGAAGTGGAGTTCACAGACCTATTGTCAAAATCGTTCATACAGATCCTTCTTTTATGCCATTTTCTGCTTTCACAAAACAAAAAATTCGGCTTGGATGGGATATGGTAAAATATGTGGGTTTCAGATACCAGACAAAGGAGACATTTATGCCTCACGTGTGAATCAAGAGTGTTTTTACTTGTGGGCTTTTTGTGCCATGCTGCTTTGCACTTGGCTTCCTGGGTCAAAATTTCCCGTTTCTGATAGAACGGACTTTTGTACTTTGGCATCTGTGTTGCGTTTCCAAGGCAAACAGGCTGCAGTTCACAAAATCCATGAACATGCTATGGTTCTTATGTTGCTCTAAGCTGAAGTACCTCAGATGAAGTAAATCAAACTTTCAAAGAAGAATTTTCTTCACTTCAGAGTGAATGTTTTGGGCTCTTGGTAAGGGGGAATTGAGAAATGGTCCTTTTTCAGGCGGCTTCTGATTGTGTGTCCAAAGGACAGTCATGTGTCATCTTCACTGGTATTGCACAGTCCTAAAATCTATGGGTCTTTTAGGACTGTAGTGTTGGTAGTTTGTGTGAGGGTACTGATTCATCCTTCCATCCCCTAGTGCAGTTTGGACAGGAACAGGATTCTTCCTGACCCTTTGGCTCATGCTCAGCTGAAAGCATCTGATAAAGGAAAGGTTAAGAACAATGTCAGAGATGATCAGAGTAAGGCTCATCAAAGGTAGATATGTGTGGGGTTTAAAGTTTAATAGTTGGGTCCTCCCCAAAAAGCTGAGATCTGCTTTGAATTTAGCAATCAAAAAAAAAAAGGGGGGGGGGAGGGGAACCTGAAGTGTTCAGATGACTTCATTTTGAAAACAGACACAATTTAATTACTTAAATATAGTTGAACATCTTGTATTTGAATTTTTGCATTGTAAAACAGATTCTCTTTATTCTGGATGACTGAACAAAACCTGTTTTCAGTATGGCCAGTGAGCTGAAAAGTCATTGTTGAGTAAATTCTCTTTTAGGCATGTCACAGGTGAGGATTACAGTGAAGGATTTAACCTGCAGAAAATGGTGATCCTCAAATGCTGAAAGGATAAGGTATTGCAGTGTTTACAGTTGAAACCACTGTCTTGAATAGCTAGGCTTCTGCTGACTTTCTTTACCAGTCTGACGTATATCTTGGAATTGAAGCCCTTTGAGAGAGAAGTACCATTCTGCTTGATTATTCACACTTGAATTCTATTATTGCTTATGCAGAAAACTTTTAGCAAATGAAAATAAAATATGCTGACCGCAAGAGGAACCGTACCCAAGCCCTGGGCTCTCAGCAGGATTTAAATACAAGTTTATTTTGCTTTCTGGTTCAAAGTGTGCCTCAGCCCCTGTTTGGAAGGGGGGGACCAGTACTTGTTTTGCTTCAGTGTTTCCTGTCTCTCTTCCTTTTCGAGAGCAACAACAGTGTTTTATCCCTTTCCTTGTAGTAAAGCTCATACATTATACGTCTAAGTGAATGAATTTCTGTACTTTACCAGACTGTGTGCATACATATGTTTTTTATGAGCGCTGTTTCTGTGTCCTTGTCTCTAGAAGTCCGTGCAAAAGCTGAAAATCATAGCGTTGAAAGTCCTTAATCTAAACCTGAATGTGAAAGACAAGGGTGTAATAAACATAGAGGTTTGCTTCCTCTTGATCTTTGTAGTAAGCATTGCTGAATGTTGTCCTGGTATTACAGCAGAGCTTCTCTTCGGTCTTGCACTCTCAGTCTAGAGAGCAGGCACTTGGAACAAATCAATAAAGGTCTTCCATGTGAAGACCTGTGCTGAAGCCCCCAATGTAGTTGTTCTTCCTTTGTCACTAATAGGCTCGGG